GAGTATTGTCCACATCGACACGGCTATAGTTTAACCACACCTCGGAGCGCGTTCTCTCTGCCATCTCCTCCGTGTGTGTGTGTGTGTTGCTGCATGTAGCAGCTGCGCGTGTGTAAACTGCCCCGCCCCCTCGCACACAGACGGGGGAGAGAGATCTCTCGACTGGATTGGAAAGATCTAAAATACTAAAAATAATCAGACGCATTTTGCAGTCTTTTTGCGTATTAGAAACGGAGTTGGCGACACTTAAACTGTAATGTAATGTTTGTGTAGCAATAATACATACGACATATATCGGGGGCCACAGGTTGTTTATCCTTGACAGTCACACAGTGGGCACACACTGAGTGTTTTCATATTCAGCAAATGTGTACACGCTAAACTGCAGACCTCAAGAAGAAATAATACTTTCATTCACTCACGGCAAAAGTTACTTTACTTACTATAAAAACTCACGGTAAAAAAATGCACTCCCTATTCCATTGACATGAAGGTGGAATCTAACTATATCCAGAATAAGTTTTATTGGATCCAGGCTAGACACATGTTTATTTCTGCTGTAAAGTTGGGCATTTTAACATGGGGGTCTATGGGAATAGCTCATTTTTGCATCCATCCCCTGTCGGCCACTAGATGAACTGCAGTTTGTGGCACTTCCTGGGCCAGACGTGCATGTGGGTGGGCCCAGGCCCACCCGGGCCCACCCACAGCTACGCCACTGCTTTACACTGGCTTCCTGTGTGTCAAAGAATAGATTTCAAAAATACTGCTGCTGGTTTATAAAGCTTTGAATGGTTTAGGCCCAAAATACATTTCTGACCTCCTGCTAAATTATGAACCATCCAGATCTCTCAGGTCTTCAGGGACTGGTCCGCTTTCTGTCCCCAGTCAGAACTAAACATGGAAAAGCAACGTTTAGTTATTATGCTCCAAATATCTGGAACAAACTCCCAGAAAACTGCAGGTCCGCTGCAACTCTGACTACTTTTAAATCCAGACTAAAGACTTTTCTTTTTGCCGCTGCTTTTAATTGAACTATTCATATCTTAAACTGCACTGTAACTTTTAACTTGTGTTTTTTCTTTTAATGTTTATTTTATTATCTTTTCTTTTTAATGACTGATTTTAAATGCCATTTTCTTAATGTCTTTCGTTTTTTGTAAAGCACTTGTGTTGAAAGGTGCTATATAAATAAACTTGCCTTGCCTTTGAAGAGGTGCTTGATTACTCAAAAACAAAAACAACTGTTAGTGTGTTTATGCACCTTTAGGCATTTCAGTGCAGAATCAATTTTTATTTATTTAGAAGCTGGGCACAATTTCCACACTGAGGATTCTTCACTGGGGTGAGGCGGGGTCTGTTGTTCCCTCAGCCACCAGAAAACAGCTCCAGCTGCAGTACCCCGTGAAGCCCTCTTCGGAGTAAAAACCCTCCAAAATTCCTCGCCGTCCACTTCCCCGGTAGCCTGTGCCAACGTCCTTATAAAGATGGTCGCATTGAAAGCACCCGGTTTCATTAAACAAATAAACAAAAAGGCTAACAGTTGGTTTTGCAGCGAGTCGTCATAGGCTAACAGATGACTCAATACACCAGAATGAACTTTAAACAAACTTAACTTTAAACAAACAACACGATTCACATTACTCACACTCTTACTGTAATTAGTGATTAAATCAACAATTAATGTAGGACACCTACACAGCAAAATCAAAAGTGTTATATTTTCAGTATTGGAGTTGGGAATTTAAATATAGAGTTGTTTCAACTCATTTTAAGTGTCATTCAACTCCAAGATAGTTATTATTCAAAACGAGTTGGTGTTGAAACAGGGAGTCAATTGTTGAATTCTCCAAACAACTCTAGAGTGCTGATTTAATTACATAGCCAGTGTTACAATTTCTCTTTCTGTGGATCACTGGCTGTTGCTCTGTTGGGTGTGGCCGTGAATGTGTGTGTGCGCAGTCGAGACGGGAGACCAAGTCGGGGGAGCATACCACCACATTCTATTTGGAGGATAAACTGACAAAATTGTAAGTCAATGTTTCGACCCATTAGCCTAGTACAGGTATTTATTTATTTAGCTGATTAATAAACCAGCGCTTACCTTCAGCTACATAAATACTAATGATTTTACATTGGCTGCTGTCTTCGCTCCATGTGCTAGTAATATGTGCTGCTATCATTATTTTTATTTTTATTTAACCTTTATTTAACCAGATAAAAGCATTGAGATAGAATCTCATTTGCAATGCTGACCTGGCCAAGAAGGCAGCAACGTTACACAAACATATAAAATACAGAGAACATAACTAAGAAAACAAAAGACAAAAAAGCAGTCACTACATTGTGCACATTAGGACAGTAAGAAAGGTGCACTACTTATTACTGCAAGAGCAGCTGGTGGTAAGGACTTCAGACAACTTCAATTAAAAACATTCTATTGAGACAAGTGCCGTCAGTTTGAGGCGTGATTGAAGGTCATTCCAAGACCAAGGACCAGAATAAAAAAGACTCCTTTTCCCAGCCTCAGTCCGCACAGCAGGAACCTGGAACCGTATCCAGGCACTGGATCTGAGGTTGTAAGAGTCACAAACTGGAGCAAATCTGGCACATATGTACAGTGGAAGCTTACCTAAAATGGCTTTATACATTAATAAAAACCAATGCTGCATCCTAAGCATAGTAAGTGAGGACCATCCAGTTAGGCTATACCGTTTGCAATGATGAGTCCTATAGGGTGCATTTGATATATAACACAGTGCAGCATTAGCCAGGGTTGTTTAGCCTAACCTCTTTGTAATATCATTACAAAGTCTGTCATTGGGGCGTTTAGCTCCATGTGTTAGTAATATTAGCTGCTATTGTTAGCCGCGGGTGTTAAGCTTCAAGTGTTAGTACGTTTAGCTGCTATAATTAAAGCTAAACACCTGCGGCTAACGATAGCAACTAATATTGACAGGTGGAGCTAAACGCCATAGTAACTAATATTACTAACACGTGGAATTAAACACCCGTGACCAACAATAGTAGCTCCTGTAATATTAATAAGATGTGAGGCTAATATATGCTACTTTAATATATTACTAACATGTGAAGCTAAACACCCGAGGCATATTAGCTGCTATCGTTAGCCACGGGTTTTTAGCTCCACGTGTTAGCAATAGGCCTACTCGCTGTTATCGGTAGCCACACGTTTAGCTCCACATGTCAGTAATACTAGCTGCTATCGTTAGCCACTGGTGTTGAGTGCCGCTGCTTTTAATTGAACTATTCACATCTTAAACTGCACTGTAACTTTTATCCATGTATTTTTTCTTTTAATGTTTATTTTATTATCTTTTCTTTGTAATGACTGATTTTAAATGCCCTTGCCTTGCCTTGCCTTGCCTTGCCTTGCCTTTAAACATTTCTGTAATATGTTTGCTAATGAATTTGTATTCTTATAGGACACCATGTTGGTGAAAGCCAGAAATATGTGAAAGTGTCTGAGACTGAAGAAGGCTATGAAAGCGACGGTACATTTCTTCAGAAAGGTATGGATAACTTTAATACATATCACTGATTGTTTGAGTCTAAAAAATGAATCTTGTTTTAGTTAAACGTACCATGGTTGTCAGGTGGTACATTTTAATATTCTCTCTCAGTCATAGAACAGTTAGGTTTACCACTACAGAGTGAGCTGCACTTGACTGATGAATCAGGGACAGAGGTGGATGCAGATGTCTTTGAGGAGCTTTTACAAGCAGGGAACCTTACAGTCAAAGTGTCCACAGGACAGTCTTCAGGTAAGATTCAGACTCGCAATGAAAAATCAGGGATCATACTGAGTTTTTTCTGTTGGGAGATGACCCTGTAACATCGTTTGGAGTGCTGAAAGTATGTTTTTTTTTTTTTTTCATTGTGTATGTCATTCTTTTATCTATCTTGCAGTTGTGCTTCAAAATGTATCGCACATTTGCTGGAGTCGGACGTTTCAGACACCTCATTCTCCGTGACCAATGCTTCATCCTCTGCGGTGTCTGATTCATCAGATGCAAGAATAGTTCTTGAGAGAGACAGTGGAGTGAAAAGAGTCCACGCTGATCGGGAATCAGCCAAAGAGGTACAGGGGCCTACACTTTTGCAATTTACTCAGTTCTTTATTAATCATTAAACATGGATATATTGTACAGATAAGCTATGGTTTGTATGCAGGAATGCCCAAGATAATGACTTCCCATATGATTCTTCTTTATCTTCTAGATGGTCAGAGATGTTCTCCAGTCTAAGCTAGGGGGAGAAAACATCTTGCAAGAGTATGCAACAACTAAAACATTGATGGAGGGTACACAACGACAGATGGTAAACCTACTGGTGGCTGACATGATCGAAGTTCATGGGTAAGGACTGAATATTCCCTTTGGTGTTAATCATGTTTTCAAAGATAGTGCTAAGTAATGTACATTTTGGAAACAGTTGCTCACATGTTAAAACAGTCTAAAGCTGTAAGGCATTTATACTTTTAAGATAAACTTTTTTTTTTTAAAGGAGGATATGTGCGAGAAAAGTGTGCTCTTGGCATCATCACTCTATTTCCATGTATATCCATGTATATCCATACTCAAAGAATGGATACGTAAGTCTATGAATGAATGACCTGTATTCGAATTTGTGAAAAGGAAGTGTGTTCATTCTTAACTTTTTGAACAACCTTCACTTCTGTGTTCTCAGTTTTGATTTCTTTTTGGATGTTACAGGAACACTATTATGATGCAGATGGTGGATCTGGCTACTTGGCATGGAGGATAAAGACGGTTCAGCGCAACACTGCGGTTCAGTCCCGGAGGTGCTACCCCAGCACTACCTATCAAGATGGTCCAAAGAGCAAGAGGGATTTTCTCTTGACTTGTGAGCAACTGACTGGCGAGGAATACAGAGAGGCAATATCCTTCATGAAGCATTCAGCTGACTAATCAGTTGTCAAAGAGAAGATGAAGGCAACATTTCAGTGTCGGCAAGCAATGACTCGGGACCAGCAAGCCTCTTCAACAGTCCTGGATGTGTTTCCTCGTTTCCTCAACATCCCTGGCTTGGTAAGAACAACATGTCATATTTAGTTTCTTATTTGTAAATTATTTGGATGGTCTGAGGGGTTGCCATGACTCATGGTGTTTCTCCTGTAGGTTGACCAAGATTTCACAATGATGTTTGGAGAAGAGATTTCTGAAAAAATGTTGGCGAGATGGCCCACTTTCTTCAAACCTAGGATCTTGGCAGACTGCAAGAACATACACTCTAATGTTCATGTTGATGACCTCTTGTCTGCACAACAAAACTCAAATGAGTCAGGCAAGTATTTTCTCTTGCAGATTTTGTTTACTGAAAATCTTGAGACCTTTCAATGTTATCGGTTGCATAACCTTGATTTAAGACTATTTTCAGCTTTAAACGACTGACTGTTATATTTGCATCTTTTTTGCCCGTAGGATGGGACAGTGACCTGTCAAGCATTCTACTCTTGGTTCATCTACTCCCCCCAACCTCAAAAGGCCATAAGAAGAGTGCTAAAATTAGCTCGTATCAAGCTGTCAGCCATGTTGTGAGATATCTTAAGGTATGCATTATTTTAGTTTTTGTATGCAGTTGTTATATCACTGACACTCCTTGAGTTGGGACCATTTTGTTTTAAGTAGCTTAGTCTGCCATTAAAACTTCTCTGTCTCTACGTTTTTGCAGATTGGAGCCAGTGTTGAGACCTTCCTTTCGAGTTTGGAACCAGGGCAGCCCTTCCTGCTGTGTGTTGGTGAACAGAAGAACAACATTCAACAGTTCTACGTCATCGTTGACCACAAGGCCATCCCTTGCAAGGGGCAGACATCCATGGCAGCCTTCGATGAACTCTTCAAAGCTCACTTCATCTTCAGTGTCAACTACTATGAATCCCTCACCAGCTTCTACACTTTCATCCAAACCACAGTATTTAACATTGATATTGGAAGTGCCAAGGAAAGTCAAAGAACTCAGAGCAAGGCTTCTGCACACTGATATCTGAAGTTATATACATCACTGGATGCAAATATGCTGATTTGTTTTATCTGTAAGGGACACCACAAAAGTTCTGCATTGCTTCGTCAGCATTTGAAATTTCACCATGGTTTATATCCCGGAAAGTCATTACGTTTGAAATGTGGCCAGCCGGGATGTTCTTTAGGCAAGGCAAGGCAAGTTTATTTATATAGCACTTTTCAACACAAGGCAATTCAAAGTGCTTTACTTGATCCTTTTGTACTTATTCAACAAGTACAAAAGACACTCAACGAGAAACTGATGAATCTTCAAGTTCTCAGGCAGTTTGTACTGACACTTCCGTAACCTCCCAGGTTACTTTTGATAAACAGCATGTGTTAAACATGTGTGGTTCTGTTGTAGCCCAGTTACAAGCATCTGGTGTTGTTGAGAGCACTGTCCAAGCAATGGTGGGGTCCATGGAAGAGCTTGTAAATTATATTCATAGACAAGCAAGAGATGCAGTTCTCAACTGCAGTTCAGAGGTCCAAGGCACTGATTTGGGTTAAAATTTGGAAAATAGTTTTGATCTGCTAGAAAATCCTTTCACATCCTTTAATACAGGATCCAAACGACAAAGGTTCTTTGAAGAAAAGTGGGAGATTGTTGAACCTGTTGAGTATGTTCTTGGGGTCGGATTTGATTTACGCAGAGATCGAACAACAGGAGTTTACAATCAGATACCTGTAACAGATACATTTGTGTATGTACCCTTGTTGGGAACCCTTAAGTCTATATTTAAGAACAGTGAACTATGTGAATTATTCCTGCAGGCAAAACAACAAGAAGAAGGTACTTATAAAGACATAAGTGATGGTTCATATTTCAAAAGCAATGATTTGTTTTCCAAGCAAAAACACGCTCTACAGGTTTAACTCTATGACGATTTTGAGACAGCAAATCCCTTAGGTTCAAAGAAGGGTATACACAAACTTGGTTGTATTTACTTCATATTGAGGAACCTACCCCCAAAATGTAATTCTGTGCTGATGAATATTCATGTCATGGCACTTTTTCATGCACAAGACCTGAAAAATATGGATTTGATGCAATACTAAAACCTCTCACTGATGATCTTAAAATACTGGAAATGCAAGGGATAGAGGTGCCTTTCTCTGACTCACCATTGCAAGGATCTGTTATTCAAGTAACAGGTGATAATCTGGGTTTACACAGGCTGTTTGGTTTTGTTGAGTGTTTCAGCGCAACATACTGTTGTAGGTTTTGTTTAACTACTAAAGAAGATTTACAGTCCGTCTTCACTGAAGATGACCCTGGTATGGTTTTTCGTACTAAAGAAACCCATGCAGAATATTGTGCAGCTCAACAGGAAAATCCTATTTTTGGGTCAACATTTGGTGTCAAGAAGACATGCTTGCTCAATACACTAACATTTTTCCACACCTCTGATAACTACGCGGTGGACATCATGCACGATTTGCTTGAAGGTGTAGTGCAGTACGAACTGAAACTTGTATTTCAGTACCTTGTCAATAAGAAGTGTCTATCTCTGGAAACACTGTCAATGAGGATCCAAAGTTTCAACTATGGATATACTGAGAGACGGAACAGGCCAAGTGGTTTAAAAATGGATGAGAGTAGCTAACATCTTGGATTTAATGCAATTCAGTCATGGTGACTCTTGCGAAATGCTCCCCTTATTGTTAGGATCTGTCTGTGTTGTAGTTTTGTATGTCTGGTTATGGGTATTTTCATCCTTGTATATTGTCTGGTCCTTCTTCCTGTGTTTTTCCTCCCGTCGGTAGTTTCCCTGGTGTGTCTAGTTGTCTGATTGTTTTCACCTGTGGCCCTTGTGTTTCTCCTCCCCTGCCCGGCTGTGTCTCGTCTTGTGATTACCCCTTCCTGTATTTAGTCTTGTCTCTTCCTGTGTTCAGTCTTGTGTTGTGAGTAAACTGCGGTGAGTGTTCTGTTCTGTCTCTGAATATTGTAGCCTTGAAATAAAGGAATTATTTTGTCACTTAAATCTGCATTTGGGTCCTGCTTCCTGCACACCGTAACATTACGAACCGACCAACAATGGACCCAGCGGATTTTTGATTTGGACTTGTTATCCCTAGAGTACACTCTTCAGTGTCATTATGCTGAATGGAGTAGAACCTTGGCTAAAAGGGACAAAGAGGCTGTCCTCAAAAAGGCACAAATGGAGGTGGACAACATGCCATGGTTGAGAGGCTCATTGCCTGAGTTTCTCAGAGTTTTCTCACGCAGCCCTGAGTGCCAGTCTCCATTCTCTGACCCTTTCTTGGGATCCCGCCTGGCGTTTGGAGGTCCATGGAGCCTCCAAAAGACTTCTAAAAGACGCAAGGTCAGGAAGCCAGCTCGTACTCAGGTACCGGTCCTAGCAGCCATGGTTCCGGCTCCAGAGCCGGCCCATACAGCCATGTTTCCGGCTCCAGAACCGGACCTTACAGCCATGTTTCTCTTTTTTCTCTTGCGAAATGCTCCCCTTATTCTTGGTGATGCTGTTGAAAGAAACAACAATTGTTGGAATCTGCTCCTCCTCTTGATTCAGATTGTGAATATTGTTTTTTCACCAATTATTACAAATGGTATGACATATTATTTGAAGCATTTAATCATTGATCACCACAAGCTGTTCAAATCTTTGTTTCCTGACAGAAGACTTATTCCAAAGCATAATTTTATGATACATTACCCAAGGTGTATTCGAAAAATAGGTCCACTCCTCCATGTATGGGCAAGGTCGCAGATTGCCTCTCCAGAGTCGTCATCGGAGCCGTCCAGTTGGGCCTGGACTATACCCGTATGGCGGCGGACCAGGTCAAAGACCCCGGCGTCCAGGCCCTGAAGGAGGAGGGCGTGGGGCTGCGCTTGGAGGACGTGGTGTTCGGCGACGCGGGCGTTACTCTCCTGTGTGACGTCTCCACGGGCCTGCTGCAGCCAGTCATTCCCGCCAGTTGGAGGCGCTCCGTGTTTGAGGCAGTGCACGACCTGTCACACCCCGGCGGTAAGCCTTCGGTGCGCTTGGTGGCCGCGAAGTTCGTCTGGCGGGGGCTGAAAAAGGACGTGAGGACTTGGGCTGGTGAGTGCGTGGCTTGTCAGCGTGCTAAGGTGCACCGCCACACGAAGGCCCCTTTAGAGCGTTTCCTGGTGCCTGAGAGGAGGTTTGACCACATCAACATCTACCTGGTTGGTCCATTACCCTCCTCTCATGGCTTTTCCTACCTCCTCACAATGATGGACAGGACGACCCGTTGGCCGGAGGCGGTCCCTCTCGTGTCAACATCAGCGGCTGACATAGCCCGGGCTTTCATTGTGACGTGGGTGTGTCGGTTTGGCACCCCGTCAGACATTTCCTCGGACCGGGGTTCACAGTTCACTTCCAAGCTCTGGAACGCCGTGGCGAGTGGTTTGGGGGTTAAGCTTCACAGGACTACCGCCTACCACCCTCAGGCTAACGGCCTCTGTGAACGATTCCATCGCTCCATGAAGGCGGCCCTCAAGGCCGGCCTGACGGACGGTAATTGGGTCGACAAGCTGCCTTGGGTGATGCTGGGCCTGAGGACCGCGCCTAAGGAAGATATGCAGTGCTCCACAGCCGAGATGGTCTACGGTCAGCCGCTGAGGGTTCCGGGGGATTTCCTCAGGCAACGCATCGGCTCCCTGGTCGGCGACGGCCCAGCAGGCTTTCGTGCAGGACACCGCTGAGGCCTTTGCTCCGATCCCCACTGCTCGGCACGGAACTCAGGTGTCCCGGGTTCCCGTGGAGCTCCGCTCGGCGGGGCATGTGTTCATCCGACACAACGCACACAGACGCCCCCTGCAGCCCCCTTACGATGGGCCTTTCCGGGTCTTGGAACACGGGGACAAGCACTTGGTGGTCGACTTGGGTGGCAGGGCCGAGCACGTCTCGGTGGACCGGGTGAAGGCTGCTCACCTGGACTTGGACCAGCCGGGGGTGCTGGCTCGACCTCCGCGACGGGGCCGCCCCCCGGCATCGACCCCTGTCACAGAATTGGGGCCTGCGGTTCCGGTCCCATCTCTTCCAGCGGCCGCCCCTTCAGAGGTCGCCTCCCCGGCTCCCGTCCTTCGGAGTCGGGGTGGTCGGCTTGTCGTTCCTCCCCGCCGCACAGACTTTGTGTATGAGTGAATTCTGGGGGGGCTTGTGTAGTGACAGTTACGGGACATAATTCACTGAGTCATATAGTGTGTGTTGCACCACGGACGAGTTAGTGAGTGCACCGGTGTTGTTGTTAGTCTAGACTCTAGCTTAACATGAGTAGCGAGCAGATGTACGTCCCTTGTCTTTATACGAATGGATAATAAAGTGTGGAGTTCCATACTGAACACACCGCCTCTGACTCCCTTTCATCGGCTCTACAACCTCAAACATTAAAACTAGGGCTGTCAGTCGATTAAAATATGTAATCGCATGATTGTCCATAGTTAATCGCGATTAATCGCACATTTTTGATCTGTTCTAAATGTTCCTTAGAGGAATATTTTTCAAGTTTTTAATACTCTTATCAACATATGAGTGGACAAATATGCTTTATGCTAATGTTTATTATCATTTGAGCAATGACAAATATTCTCATGAATATTAAACACAACATCTTCTGAACATTACAAATATTTGCCTCAATTCAACCTGGAACCTCTCATACAATAACAATACAATACCAATTGTGTGTGTGTGTGTGTGTGTGTGTGTGTGTGTGTGTGTGTGTGTGTGTGTGTGTGTGTGTGTGTGTGTGTGTGTGTGTGTGTGTGTGTGTGTGTGTGTGTGTGTGTGTGTGTGTGTGTGTGTGTGTGTGCAACCCAGTCTCACGGCATTTCGTGTTCACCAACACGATTTGCCCCTTTTTTTCGTGTTGCACAGCATGATTTTTAAAAGCAATGTATTTCTACTGCCTGCAGCACGTCTTTAGGCTTGTTTGAGACAAGCGAGACCTGCGCAATTGCGATCAACGTCTTGCTAGTGCGTTGCATGATGGTTAGTCATTTTGTCCGACTTCATCTGGAGGCTCGCCTACATGAGACGTTG